GAGCCACAACAGTGGTGCTCTTCTCAGACCATTCATGGCCTTCTTCAACCACAAAATGACGCGCTGTCCGTTCATGGTGATATTCCCTGGCAACAAAACAAGGTCACAAGCATCTGTCTCCACGGGTGCATCCATGAAGGCTGTGGAAACATCTGCCGTCAACAAGCTCAGGTTCTCAATCACCGAAAAGGCTAAGACAACACACAAAGAATCTAGACTGCTCGTGGGAGCATAGATTCCGGAACGGAACGCACTCTCCGCCCCTGATGCGTAGTCACGGACCACGAGACGAGCTCGACACAAAACAGGATTCTTCTGTGTGAACACCCATCGTGAAGTCAAGATCTGACCAGCATACTCTACTGCAATGTTCCTCGCGGCTTTCTCTGCGTAGGTGTCTCCTACTTGCAACCCTTCGAGCTGGGTCATCTCTGTTCGGACTCCGTCAACCACCTGTCAGTGGTCAATCGGATGTCCCGTCAGCTCGTCCGTGATACCTTCACAGACCTTCACGTCAACTGTGTTGCCACCAAAAGTGAGAGAAACCGTGGACTCTTCCCCAACATCCTGGTCAATGTCCATGACATCACAAGCTGATGTTCCAGCAAGAAACTGGTTCACCACCTCATTCTGGGCACTCTGAATGACCGTGTTGAAAATCACACCAAGGTCCACAGGCTCTTCTCCCCCTTCTGGCACCAGGCTTCACGATCAGCTGCTATGCCTTGTCAGAGACGGGTTGGCTGACTCGTCTCGGCGGAGCGCGAGAGAGTGTTCTTTGGAATGGTAGTGGGGCAGAGTTTCCACTTAGGATTTGTGACGTGCTTGGTGGCTGAAGGTTGACTTGCTTTCCAAAAAAGGTCAAACCAAACGCGGAGGCAGGCAGACCAAAGGTCCAGCTCCCATGGAGGTAGATAAGGTGAAGGCTTCTTCGTCTGGTGTAGGAGGTGAAGAGACCAGAGAGACACAAGAGGCGCGAGGTGAGCGTGCTGCTGACAGTGCAGCTACAGGTAGTGAAGAAAGAGGAGCGAGACATTTTCTCAAGGTCAGAGAAGTGGTTGCCACCTATGCCGGTGTGCGAGTTCAACAAAGGAAGAATAGAAGTGACGAGATTCTTCGATTCGCAGAGTACGTGTCCCAAGGCCTGGACTGCGAGCAGAAAGCGCCGAGAGGCAAGCGATGGTGGAATCTTCAGGGACGGCGTCTCAACCAGCCCAACACACTGGAGCGCGGCCATCGAACCCCAGTAAGATGAGGGCAAAGCACTTTAAAGCCAAGTGCCACCGAACCCAGGTGTTTCGTTGAAGGCTGACGAAAGTCTCACGGTGACAGCGCCCAACCGAGGCATGTTGTTCGAGCGAAAAGTATGTCCTAGTGTGGATTGAGATGTTGAGATTGGCTCTGCCAGCCCCACGTTCGATTGTTTGCAGCGGTAGATTTGCTAAGTTGTGCAAGAACGGTGTGTTGCTTCCGCTTGTGTGCGTTTGAGCATGTTGTGGCTTACCATTCGTGAATGGTGCCAAAAGCAGAAGAAAGAATGTGGCGCAAAAAACATTTGTCGTGCTAATGTTCGCGCTGCTTCGCGGCTGGGCCCGCCCGCACCGGGAGAAATATTTGATTGTTTTCATCAGACCGTGAACATGGGAAGAGCTCCGGAAAGAGTGCGGATCCTTGCCCCTGTTGCTGCTTATCGCTTGCTGGTCTGCTAGCTGCTGTTGCCCCCTGCTGCTGCTGGCTTCTGGTTGCTGCTCTGTTGCTGCTTTGCTGCTGCTGTTGCTTCTTGCTTCTGCTTGCTGCTTTGCTGCTGCTGGCTTGCCGGTGTGGTTGCTTCTGGCTTGCTGGTTTGCTGGTTGCTTTTGCGGATGCCTGCTGCTGCTTGCTGGTGTTGCTGCTTTGCAGCTTGCTGCTGCTGCTGCAGCTGCTGCTGCTTGCTGCTGCTGCTGCTGCTGTTGCTGGTGCTTGTTTCTTGGTTGCTGTTTTCTTGTGACAAACTGCCTGTCAGAACATGTTCTGAATGCCAATAGAACACACAGACTCCCACCGCCCCGGCTCTACCTGGCCAATTGAGCTAGAGCCGCGCCATGAAGCCGCTGGTGATTGTTTATGCCAGTTCTACTTCTACCTGGCTATTTCGACCACATCAAAAAACCAAACGTTTTAACGTGTTTGTCTTGTTTCCCAGATAGCGAAGCTATGGGGTTCTTACTTCATTCCCCAGATAGCGAAGCTATGGGGTTCTTGCTTCAAACAATAGTGAGTTGTCCGTGCGCGCTTTCGAGACAGGTTGCTGGTGCTGGGTGCCGGTGCTGGTGCTGGTGCTGTGAGCTGGCTGTGCACGTGGTGGAGACAGGTTGCTGGTGGTGGTGCCGGGTGCCGGTGCTGGCGCTGGTGCCGGGTGCCGGTGCTGGTGAGCTGGCTGTGGACGTGGTGGAGACAGGTTGGTGGCGCTGTTGCCGGGTGCCAGTGCTGGTGCTGGGTGCCGGGTGCCGGTGCTGTGCTGGCTGTGCACGTGGTGGAGACAGGTTGCTGGTGCTGGTGCCGTCCTGGTGCTGTGCGTGCACGTGGTGGAGACAGGTTGTGCCGGGTGCTGGTGCTGGTGCTATGAGCTGGCTGTGCACGTGGCGGAGACAGGTTGCTGGTGCTGGTGCCGGGCGGTGGCGCTGGTGGTGGGTGCTGGGTGGTGGTGCGGGTGCTGGTGCTGTGAGCTGTGCACGTGGTGGAGACAGGTTGCTGGTGCTGGTGCTGTGCTGGTGCTGGTGCTGTGCACGTGGTGGAAACAGGTTGGTGGTGCTGTTGCCCGTGCCAGTACTGGTGCTGGGTGCTGGGTGCCGGTGCTGGTGCTGGTGCTGTGAGCTGGCTGTGCACGTGGTGGAGACAGGTTGCTGGTGCTGGTGGTGGTGCTGGGCGCTGGGCGCCGGATTTCGTGCTGGTGCTGCGAGCTGGCTGTGCACGTGGTGGAGACATGTTGCTGGCGCTGGTGCCGGGTGTTGGTGGTGCTGTTGCTGGGTGCCGAGCGCCGGTGCTGTGAGCTGGCTGTGCGCGTTGCTGGTGCTGGGTGCCGGGCGCCGGTGCTGGTGCTGGTGCTGTGAGCTGGCTGTGCACGTGGTGGAGACAGGTTGCTGGTGCTGGTGCCGTGGTGGTGCTGGTGCTGTGCGCGTGGTGGAGACAGGTTGCTGGTGCCGGTGCTGCCGGGTGCCGGTGCTGGTGCTGGTGCTGTGAGCTGGCTGTGCACGTGGCGGAGACAGGTTGCTGGTGCTGGTGCCGGGCGGTGGCGCTGGTGGTGGGTGCCGGGTGCCGGTGCTGGTGCTGGTGCTGTGAGCTGTGCACGCGGTGGAGACAGGTTAAACTTGCTGGTGCTGGTGCTGGGTGTCGTGGTGCTGGTGCTGTGAGCTGGCTGTGCACGTGGTGGAGAGATGTTGTTGGTGCTGGTGCCGGGTGGCGGTGCTGGTGCTGGTGCCGGGTGCCGCTGCTGGTGCTGGTGCTGGGTGCCGGGTGCCGGTGCCGGTGCTGGTGCTGTGAGCTGGCTGTGCGCTGGTGTCGGGCGCCGGTGCTGGCGCTGGGTGCCGGGTGCCGGTGCTGGTGCTGGTGCTGGTGCTATGAGCTAGCTGTGCACGTGGTGGAGACAGGTTGCTGGTGCTGGTGCCGGGTGCCGGTGCCGGTGCTGGTGCTGGGTGCTAGTGCTGGTGGTGTGCGTGGTGGTGACTGGGCGCCGGTGCTGTGCTTGGTGCTACACCGGTGCTGGGTGCTGGTGCTGGGCGCCGTAAGCTGGCGCGCCGGTGCTCGGTGCTGGTGCCCGCTTCTGACAGTGAAGTGATAACAACCGCCGCTTCTGACAGTGAAGAGTAACAAACCGCCGCTTGCAGCAGTGAAGGGCGACCAAGCTCCGCTTAAGGGCAATGAAGTGCAAGCAGTCATGTGCCGCATGAACTTACGCACGAAACATCGTACGGTGTTGTCGCTTGAGCGTTCTTTGTCTATTCGCGCTGTGGGGTATTTACACCCTTCAGGTTCTGTTTTGGCCGACAGCTGTGTCAAGGGCTGTACTGTTTGCGCGCGTACTTTTGTACATATAATGTTGTATGCGTCAGGCTCTCAACCGACCATTGTACCAGCATGTTTCAGCATGCTACACACACAATAGTCGTGCTGGATACTGCTTGGCCTTGGGCGAGTGAAGCCTACGGGCTTTGCCGATTGTGCGCATATTTTTGTGCGCATAAACTTATACGCGCAAGATCATACGGCCTTATCGTTCTGCAGGTCGTTCCTTCAAGCGCGCTACAAAGTCAATAGTGGCGCTGGATACTGCCTGGCCTTGGGCCAATGACACTTACGGGCTTTGCTGTTTCCGCGCGTACTTTTGTGCGCATAAACTTACACGCGCAAGATCATACGTTGTTATTCCCCAAGTAGGGATAGCTATGGGGTTGTTGCTGCAAATAAGAATGAGCTGGCTGCGCACGCTTTCAATGGTGCTGGTGTTGTGGTCCTGGGCGCAGGTGCTGTGAGCTGGCTGAGCGCGTTTAAGACGGGCGGCGGCGCTGGTCGGGTGCTGGTGTCAGCTGATCGTGCGAGGTGTCGTAAGCTGGCTGCGCAGGCTGCGTGCATTCTTGTTCCAGCCAGTCGCATGTCAACAGGTCGTGGGATTCTGCCTAGCTATCTGGGTCTATGCTGGTGTAATTTTTCAAGAACGCCTCTAAAACTTGCGTGACTTACTTCCCCCCAGCTAAAGCTGAAATCTTGTGATTGACTATGCCATCCGGATACACACGCCCCAGCACCTTCGGCGCGGGGGATTTGCCAACCTCGTCGCTTGTTGGAAACCAATTCTACAGTTATCTACAAATGCATAACCCATCAAATTTGTATTTTGTAACTTGTTAACCGTTTTTAAAACATGTTAACTTTGCAGTGTTTTCTACACTACATCAGGGTGCTGCTGTTGGAAATGATACTTCGACATTGTGCCGAGTCAATCCCGCTGCTTATGCTCCAATCCGAAGAAGAAAATTAGAACTCCCAAGGAAACTTGGCCGGTACATGTGGGTATGGCAGGCAGGTATGTCAACGAGGCCGCCACAATCCTTTCCCTGAGCATTTTGCAAAGATTCAACTGCGAAGTGATTTTTGCTCAGGACAGTGTGGAGTCGGAACGGCCACTCAAAGTATGCGCCGAGGTCTGTTCAGTTACACATACTGGAACTTTGCAGGCATTCTGGTTGAACCAGATTTCCTCGTATCAGGCTGGCAGGAAATGTGTGCGGAATATCCACCAATATCCTGTCCTGTCTGCAGAGTGGGCAGCTTGAGCAAGTGTTTGTGCCGACCGCGTCTCTTTCGCGTGGATTCTTTTGCAAAGGTGGATTGCTTTGGTAGATTCATTGAAACAGCTTTCAAGACTTGCCCGGGCTTCAGTATGCGTTGCTTGTGCAAACAAATGTCCAGTCCATTACATTTTGTGCTTTCAGGTGCAACTTGAAGGGAGAATGCCTGCAAATCCAAAGGCGAAGTGGGATAGATCCTGTCCGCAAGCATCTCATTCTTCAACCAACAGTTCTTCTCAGTTACACAGTGGTGTGGTTTAAAAACCATTTTGTATTTTTAATCTTGATCATTGCCACTCAGAACAAAGTTTAAAGTTTCTTGAAAGTTTGGTTGACCAAGTTTTCTTGGCAGGTTTTGGAGGCCCGAGGACGAGACAGGGAGTCGGAGGGCACTTTGTGGGACCAGGCACGTTACGGCGCGCAGTGGCACGCAGCTGTCCGACCCTCTCAATGGAACCTGTTTGACTGAAGGAGGCGCACGAAAATGCAATTCGCATTTTGGTGGAGGAAGCCAAGGTAAACTTGTGCCTCAGGATTCGCTTTGAATTTTGGCCACAATAAATGAGTGATGGTTGCATTCTTTTTTTGAGGATGATGTTCGACTTCAAGAAATGGCAGTACAACTCTGCCGAGAAGCAGGCTGTGATCGAAGAAGCAATGAAGGCCTTTTAAGCGTTCTTTGCTGGATTCGATTGCCGTAATTTGAATTGGTTGTATTTGGCAAGGCCTACGAATCAACAGAGGTGCAGCTAGAGCAAAAATGTATCCAATTCGAGGATATTCAGTGGAACGAGTCAGCAGTTTGAACCAGCAGAATAATTGTTCAAAACACTTCATGTGTTTGACATGTAAATTTGTTTGATTTTGTTTTGACAAGACAAGACATTGTAGATCGATCAGTTCTGCTGCCCTGGAGGACTGCTTGGGAACTCTTCTTCGGAAAGCTTTCATGCATGCACCCATCTTAATCCTGTGTATGTTGAGTTTTGTACGATGGGCAAGCATTCTCTGTCCACTTGAGTCTTTTCTCTATATACCTTTCTCGAGATTTTGGCAAGGCCTCTCCTTTGAGTGTTTGGAAAACCAGTGAGGGTCATTCACAGGGTCACAGAGCTCCGTGTCATTTGCAGTTTCAGCAAGGCCGCAATAAAGTGTATACATTCTATAAAGGTGGGTAAGAAAACATATGTAGACAGAAGTGCGAGAAGTTGACAGACAATCTCGAATGTGATTTTCGCTGCTCGAAGCTCTTTTTGGATGCAAGCTGCGCTGATAGAGGCGCTGAAGCTTGTTCAGTGGGGGTCAGCGACAGGTTGGTGGGGGGTTAGCTGCCCTGCGCACTGTTCGTCGAACCCTTTTGTTGCTTTGGCCACTCTGCTTGCCGGCTTCTTTCTTGGTTCGCTGCTCACTGTGCTTGGTGGACTTTGGCTCTTCTTCGGCCATCCTCACCTCGTCCGACCAGCCCCTCCTGAGGCTGCCTCCCCTGTTGCTTCAGCTCCTGACTTGCGCCTGTCGGCGTATCTATATGAGCGACGTCGTCGCCATCTTGGTTAGCGCTGTCAAGGCTGCCGCCAGTACTTTGCGCCTGTTGGCAAATTCTCTCGAGGCTGCTGCCGATCAAGCTGCTGCTGCTCCTGTGGCTGTCCTCTCTGAGGTGGACCTCCAGGACTGGGAACTTGACGAACAGCACGAGCCTGCTTCTACCTCCGCTTCAAGGCCAGCTCCTTCGCAAAGCCCTGGTGTTCGGGACTCTCTTGCTGGGGCAAGTGGCTACGATCAGGTTGCTCGATCTCTACCTCCACTACCAGATCATTGTGTTGACGTTTGTGGTCGCCTGGCTGGTACACAGGAGGAGGTCCGAGCACGAGCCCAGAGGGCCTGGGAAGCTGGGTGTTGGGCAAAGGCCACACTTGAGGGGAAAGTTGCAAAGCCTCGACCAAGCCCAAAGATTGCCCAGAAGGCGGCTTGCTACATCATTTTGCGTGGCCCAGGCAGGCATTTCTGCTCCCACTCGTGTTGACACTGCAGCAGAGTATTTCCGTCTTCTCCCTCGATTCGAAGAAGGCTCAGTATCCCATTCCTTCCCTTCTCAAGCGGAAGGATGAGTCTATTCTATTGCTTGGCAGCGGGGGTTCTTTTCCCCGAGCCTAGGGGACAATGACTACTTCATTGACGATGGATCAAGTGAAGGCATTGGACCAAGGGGTCATGGACGCTCTTGTGCTGAAGTTGGACTTCGCTGCTTGGGGCTCCACTTCTGGCCCTCTGAAGGCTTTTGTCTTCCCAATTTTGAAAAGGAAGGATGGGATGATGTGTGCGGTGCCACTGGGCTATTTTCCCGAGGAGGCCCTAGATGGTGGCAGTTTTTCGGAGATGGAGGACCTCATTGGACCTTCGAGGAAGGTGCAAGTTCCGGCCGTTCTCGAGGAGGAAGATGGGACCGAGGTGCCTTTGGACTTCGACCTGGAATGCATCCTGGTGGACTTCCATGCCTCCATCCTGCAGTACATGAGGGGCTTCGATCCGGTGACAGAAGGAGAAGGCATTTGTACCTTCCATTCAGAGAACCCGGATATCTTCCCGGAGGCCAACTCGTTGATGACGGCTGCATATCATTGGGTGGGAGGAGGGCAACGACAGAGTGAAGTTTTATTCTGCCGAGGATGTTCCAGGGCCTCAGACTCCTGTGGTCCTTCCTGTCGAGCAGAAAGCAAAGGCGAAAGCAAAGGCTCGAGGATCTGCTCCTGCAAAGAGGGTCACTACCGCAAGCCTGGCCGAGCAGATCAGTGCTATCTCACAAGCCCTTCCGTCTATTACAGATCAGCTGAGTACAATGGCACAACGGCAAGACCGCCTGGACCTCATGATGGCATCTGGAGGCAAAGATGCAGCTCCTCGGGTTCCGCCTTACAAGCAAGTGTTCACACCTCCGGCTCGAGAGGATGTTCTTGCTCCGGCTCGCTTCATGCAGAGGATTGCAGCACCTGACTTCTCAAGATGGCTTGCTGGATTTGGGATCCAGTACGAGCTCTTCGCTCAGCATGCGAGGCACATTGAAAAGAGAGAAGCTCATTGCAGATCTCAATTCCAGGAGAGGAGATTTCTTCTTGAAGGTCAGTCAAAATGCCTTCAGACGCCTGAAGCCCATGGGAACAGGTGCCTACTTCGCTCGAGGCTTTCCCTCGCAAAGGAGTCTTCACGAAGTACCTGGAGCGGCAAGGAGGCTACAACCAACAGAGGGATCTGGGCCTGATTATGTGGCTCATGGCTCACGTGGCCGATCAGATGCTGGTGGGGGACTACAAGGGAGCTCAGGAGATGATGGCTCTGGCGCTGGTCTCGACGGAGCAGGCTGCTCAAGATGGTTTGAAATGGGAGGTGGCATGGCTTCTTTCCCTACAAGAGGATCCTCCTCCTTCCCTGTTTGTTCCGAGGCCTTCTTCAACGAACCCGAGGCTTCGAGCTTTTGCGCCGCTATGTCCTCAGGAGTGGGCTACGGTAGCTTTGGGCTTTGTCAAGGAGGTGGACTTGATCAGTTCTCGGAGGCAGGAGTCTCTGGTTCCCAAGAACAAGGAGAACCCCATGGGAGGTCCCAAGAAGCCAGACGAGAAAGAAGCCTGGAAGAAGAAGCCGCGTTTTCCAAAGAAGGCAAAGGGCAACGAAGAGTCCACTTCGTAAAGGAGAAGGCCTCTCAGAAAAGCAGAAAGCATCACAAACAGAGCGATGGTGGGGAGCTATGTTCTGGCCTATGTTCCGGGATGGCATTTGATTCCTCCTGCAAGGCTACCAATTCTTCACCCTCTTCTACATGAAGGTCTCCTGATGACACCGGCCGAGATGGCGTGGACACTTGGGAGAAGCTTCGTGAGTTTTCTTTTGGTGCATGGGCATCGATGCTGCTTCGCAGTGTTTTGGATGCTCGCACCCCGTTTTCAGAGTTTCTGAAGACCACTCTTCACACCGGACCTATGCATGGACATGCAGGCGAACAAGCTCTTTTTCCTCTTCCGGTCCCAAAGCATGGCATTTTTGAGAGGCTGAGTTGTGGCAGTAGGCAGAGGAGGCGGCTCATTTTTGATCGCGCATTCCACACCATTGTCATGGCTCTCAACTTCTGGCATGCGGACTACACCTTTGTCCCTGTGGAGTCACTTTGCCGGAAGCCATCTCTGGCACAGGGCCGTGTTTCGGGAAACTTGAGGAGGATTGTGAAAGCTTTCGGTAGCAGCAGTGAGAAGTTTCAAGTTCCTGCCTGCGGCCGAAGAATCCCTACTCTGATGGCACTCCTTGCTGACCTTTCTGACCTTTTGACTTGGGAAGGAGCAGGAGGTGATCCTTATTTTCGCTCTTTTCCGGGAGCCCCAGAAGGCATCAAGGAGGTTGTTGGTCGTGACCTCACCAGAGCTGAAGAGCTGACGCCGTATAGGTCTTTGGACCCATCGAGGTTGAAGCTTTCTGGAAGTGCCCAATCAAACCCCGCACCTTTTCTCTCGGATCCTCTATGGATGGCTTACATGGAGCCTCTCTCTCTTTGTTGGACTGGCTCGGCGAGGACGACTGGGGCTCCGAATTTATTGCGAGAGGACCCAAAGGCAGTTGCTGGTTTGATTCCTGTTTGGGATGCAAGAGGCCTTCTTTTTATTCGAGACACCCCTTTACCGGAGCGTGGGATAGATCTTGCTATGAGGTTCTTCAACTGCTACAAATCCAAAGAGGTCCCTATGCTGCACAGACAGAAAGGACTTCTACCACCAATTCCGGGTCTCATCGGAAAGGGCAGCCTCAAATGCCTGCTTCCCTTTGGTGGGTTTGAAAGAGATTGAGGGTACCTCTGCGCTTGCAGAATGGACAAGAAGGAACCTCAAGAGGAGGAAGTATGAGAGGGCACTACATGGGGACCGTTTGGCTGCCGCCGGTCAAAAAGAAGAGAAGAAGATCAAAGAGGCAAGCTGCTTCCAGATTTGTTTCCAGAGTATCCCTCAAGGTGATCACCTTGGAGTTGAGTTTGCCACGGATGCGCGTCGGACCCTCCTTCGTGATGGAGGATTGTTGCTCGACGATCAAGAGGTGAGGTCAGGTCAACACTTCACGGGAACTTCCCATGCGGCTGGCCTAGTGATTGATGATTCTTCTCTATATCCACGGTGCCGTCCTCAGTGCCGGAGTTTGACAAGAATAAGCCCAGGGAGGACCAGTTTTGTTCTGCTTCAGTCAACGACCTGATTTTGGCAAAGAAGATCTACCAGGAGCAGAAGATCCTGGGTTCCGATGACAAGGACATCTGGGGTGCATCAAAAGCCAAGATCATTGGGGCAGAGATTGATAGTTCTCTAGAAGCCAGACAGCAAGGCCTCGCCACAGCAGCCAGCCCGGTTCGAAAGAGGCTTGCTTTGGCTTTCATCTCGCTCGAGCTCGCAAAGATGAGGTTTACTTCTGATGCTCTTTGGGCCTGTTTGATTGGAGGATGGACAAGCTGTCTTATGTATCGCAGGCCTTTCATGTCTCTTTTTGCAGAGGTTTACAAGCTCGTGAAAGCAGAAGAAATCTCTCAAGACTCACCAAAGTTGGTGCCTTTGCCGAGGAGGAGTGCACAGGAGGTCCTGCTTGCAGCAGTTCTTTGCCCGCTCTTTTCTTCTGACCTGTCTGCAAGGCTTTTGCCCAAGCTCTATTCAACAGATTCGTCCGACGCTAAAGGGGCTGTCGTCTCTCGCCCCCTGGAGCCAACGGTTGCTAGAGTCATCAAATTGGGTTCGCTTGCTGTTGAGGATATTTGGATCTCTTCCTCCTTGGTGGTCTGGCAGTGAGAGTTGGCGCTATGCTCATCTTTCCTACAAAGCGTATCCTTTTGAGGAGATTGCACCAAAGAAAAGAGGAGTTGGAGCCGGGAGCTGGGCTTTTGATGCCTGCAAAGGTTTTCCTGGAGAAGGTCCAATGATCTACTTCCAAAGCAATTTGCTCTTCAGCATTTCGAGCCTTGCATTCCTGTGCGTTGGATTTCGCTCTGACTCCCTTCTTGGAGTTTGGATTTTGGCATCTCTCCTGTCTCTCTCGTGGATTTCCCTCCATCGTGGAGAAAGCCCGGCCACTGCAGGTGGGGTCCGTCTCCGGAGGAATCGTTCTGTCAGGTGCGCTGGTGGGTCCCCCAAGGTGTTCCTTTTCATCTGGTTGTCGCTGACCCCCATTGTAGATAGGGCGGCCGCGGTGAGCCATGGACCAAAGCTGATACCTCGTGACGCACGGGACCGTGCAAGAGCTGACCTCAGGCATGATCTGGAGCTGCCTCAAGGGAGGCCTGTGCTGGAGAGAACTCAGGCCAACCAGGACAAGCTGCTGACAGCTTTTGACTCTTGGCTGCAAGGTCAGGGTTTTTCCCTTGGCCAGCTTTTGGGACCTGGCGTTCCTGATGTCGAAGCCATCAACACACTGCTGGAAAAGTATGGTCGGGAGCTTTTCCGATCTGGCAGGCCATACGGCCACTACGCCGAGACGGTGAACGGAGTAGCTGGCCGGAGACCCAGGATCAGACGATCCCTCCAGCCAGCGTGGGACCTGGCCTATGGGTGGTTGCGCCAAGAGCCACCTACCCACCACCTAGCTCTTCCATGGCAGGCTTTGTTGTGCCTCCTCTCGACATCTTTGAGTTGGGGGTGGACGCGAGTGGCAGGGGTCATTGCCCTATCCTGGGGCAGCCTGACCCGCATCGGAGAAGTGCTCAGTGCAGCACGGAGGGATCTAATCCTTCCGAGCGATGTCGGCTACACGATCGACCACGGCCTGCTTCAGATAGCTGAACCAAAGACACGATATCGTGCCGCAAGGCATCAGATTGCAAAGGTCGACCAGCCCCAGCTGCTGATGGTCATTCAGCTGGCCTTTGAGCGTTTGGAGGCGGGTTTTCGACTCTGCCAGAGACCTTGAGAGGTCGATTTTCGAAGTTGCTGCAAGCCTGTGCCTTGGACAGGCTCCCTGGACGGCTTTCTCGAGGCATTGACCTCGGAAGCCTTCGTGCAGGAGGCGCTTCATGGCTTTTGATGGTCAGCGAAGACTCGGAGCTGACCAGGAGACGGGGGAGGTGGATCTCCTCCAAAATCATGGAGATTTATGTTCAAGAAGCATGGTCAGTCCAATTCCTCCATGCCCTTCCAGCTGATACTAAGCAGTTGGTTCTTGATGGAGCACGAGCTTTCCCCTGGCTGCTTGAGAAAGCTTGTGGCTGGCACCACGCAAAAGTACCTGAGAGAATTTGGCATATCCTCCTGCGCCGCATGACGTTCGAGCAGAAAGAACTGGGTGAGGATGAGTTGGGTGAGCGCCACACTTTTGGCCAAAAAGGCCCGCGTGCAGCTTCCATGAGAATGTGAAGAAAGAAGCGTGAGAGATTGACAGACAATCTCGAATGTGATTTTCGCTGCTCGAAGCTCTTCCCTCCACACCCCCCCTGTCATGTGGGCAGGGGGTGAGCGCCACACTTTTGGCCAAAAAGGCCCGTGTGCAGCTTCCATGAGAATGTGAAGAAAGAAGCGTGAGAGATTATATAGTAAATATGCAATGCGAAAAAGACACAACATGTACATTGATGTTTGTTACATTGCAGTGCGTAACCTGCAGAGCTAATCTTTGCAATACGTTGGTACGACGTATATAATTGTTCTGTAGTCTATGGATTTCCAACAATGGACTCCACACGCTGTAAAGTGTTGGGGCTTTCGCAATCCAGGGTCAAAACAGTCCGTAGGCGTGGACCCAGGGGCCCTGAGGTCAAAACGCAAAAGGTAAAACAAAAACAATAAATTTTCAATCCGTTGTGAAAAAGACGGCAAATAATTTTCATTGCAGGACAACTGCGGCATTCACACTTCTTTCTTGCTTTCACTTCCTCTCACACAAAGGTGACCATCGGACAGACAACCAAGCATGTGTGTGAAACAAAAGCAGCTCTACTATGCTCTACTCATGTTCACTTTTGGAGTTCGATTTTTCCCCAGATAGCGCCAGCTATCTGGTTCTTACTTCAGATAACGATGTGCTGGGTGCGGGTGCCGGTGCCGGGTGGTGCTGGTGCTGGGTGCTGTGAGCTGGCTGTGCGCGTGGTGGAGACAGGGTGCCGGTGCTGGGTGCCGGTGCTGGTGCCGGGTGCTGTTGCTGGCTGTGGTGCTGGTGCTTGGTGCTGTGAGCTGGCTGCACGCGTGGTGGAGACCCGGTGCCCGTGCTGGGTGCTGGTGGAGAGGGTGCGGTGCTGGGTGCTGGTGGTGGGTGGTGGAAACAGGGTGCCGGTGCTGGGTGCTGGCTGTGCGCGTGGTGGAAACAGGGTGCTTGAAAAGCTGGCGATTTGCGGGGTAGTTGCTTTTTGGAGCCAACATGGTTGCGCACGCTCTCATGCCAAAGCTGTGAATGTGATTGATGGAGCTTCGTGTGAACATCCATATGCCTTAGTGAATGCGTCCCAACTGCCGCTTGGGACAGTGAAGTGTGACCAACTGCCGCTTTTGCAACCGCCGCTTACTGACAGTGAAGGGTCGCCAGCCGCTGCTTCTGACAGTGAAGTGATGCCAACCGCCGCTTCTGACAGTGAAGTGAAGTGCAAGCAGGCATGGGCCGCATAAACTTATACACTGTTGTCGCTTGAGCGCTCTTTGTCTATTGGCGCTGTGGGGCATTTACACTCTTCAGGTTCTGTTTTGGCCGACGGCTGTTTCAAGGGCTGTACGCATAGAGTTACATGCGCAATGTCAGGCTCTCAATCGACCATTGTTTCAGCATGTTACAAACTCAATAATGGTGCTGGATACTGCTTGGCCTTGGGCGAGTGAAACCTACGGGCTTTGCTGTTTGTGCGCATACTTTTGTCCGCGTAAACTTATACGCGCAAGATCATACGGTGTTATCGTTCTGCAGACCGTTGCTTCAAACATGCTACAAAGTCAATAGTGGCGCTGGATATTGCTTGGTGTTGGGCCAGTGGCACTTACGGGCTTTGCTGTTTGCCTGCAGACTTTTGCGCGCATAGATTTACAGGGTGCCGGTGCTGGTGTCAGCTGGTTGTGCGCTGTTTGGGGGTGCCGTAAGGTGGCTGTGCAGGCTGCATTTAATGCCTTGAACTTGAACCCAGCCAACCATTTGCCCTTCATGCTCGGGTAAGGCTGAGTATTTTTCGACACTTTCCAGGTCGAAACCTTGCAGTTGATGGACATACCTTTGCTCATAGAGCATTGCGCTGGAGTCCCAGGGGTGGGTTCCAATTTTGCAAACTTGGCACTAGCAGGCTACTTAGCAGGAACCTTTGTCACTCTTGTCTTCAGAAACAGAACAGCAATGAAGTCGCAACAAAGGCCTTCATTCTTCAAGCTTGCTTCAACCTGGCTGAAAGCCCTGGCGATGCCAGACTGCAGGAGACGGTGGTGTTGTGCGCATCATGGAAAAAGGAATCGCATTCATTGGAAAACCCGCAATGAACAGTGGTGTGCAGAGGTACTACTTCAGCTCCTTGATGAAGCATGCGGAGGCAAACTTGATTGACAACCAAAGTGCAATTCTATATAGTCATTTATATACAAGACCTCGCCCGCTGAAGTACTTTAAAGACAACTTAGGACACAACAGTCATGACAAAAGGAATCTGTAGAGACATGTAATGATGTTATGTTCCATTTGTTTAAAGTCCTCTGCATCGGTTGTGCGCACAGTCAATTTTGTTGTCTTTGGCTGAGGCATTGAACAATTCAGAACTGTTGGCGCGAAGCCGTGAACTGCAGTTGGTAGAGCTCGCAGTCGGCCACTACTTGCGCTTTGCCGATCAGTACGCCAAAGCAATCCATTTGGGAGCAACTCTAGGGAATTTTTTGCAGCTTGTTCAAGGTTCCCTGATGAGCTGAAACACAGTCTTGCTGAAGGTCTAGCAGTTGGCCCCTCATGGCTGTTGCAAGAATGCATCAGCTCAATGTCATCTAAGTATATAGTAAGATCTATTTTATTTGCTCAATATATATATATATACACATACAGTATATATACATATACAGATTCTATTTCTCTGAGTCTGCCTTTGAACGGATTGCAAGTTAGGCCATGGCCGACAATGAAGACTTCCAGTTTCGCACTCAGGAGAACTGAAAGCAAGAAAAAATAAGAAACCCTCCATTCTCGTGCGAACAAAGTCAAGTTCAGAAATTTGCCCGGGTGCAGAAACTAAAACCATGGGTCAGAAACTTCTTGGGATCAGAAACTGGTCTCGTTGGGTTCAGGAACGGGTTAGTTTGGTCAGGCTCTGGAACTGGGTTTTGCCGGGTTCAGGCACTATTTTTGTCGAGTTCAGACACTTGGTTTCGTGGGGGGTTGGGGGTTGGGGGGTATTGATGTTCACGCGGGCAACTATTTAATCTATGAAGAGCAGGTTTCCGAACGCAACAATCGAGTTTACAAAACCAATGCTTCCAGTCTCCGAACCCCACGTCGCAGTTTCCGTAACAAAGTTTCCGAAGCCTGTGTTTCCAGTATCTGCGCTGGAGTTTCCGAACCCAATGCCATAGTTTCGGAACCCAAGGCTAGTTTCCGAACTTAACGCTGACGTTCTCGTGCTGCCAGTTTCTATCTGTATGCAAATTCAGCTCTGCATGCGCTAATCAACATTTGTGTTGGCCAAGAAACTCCGCGCTGCATGAAGAACCCCCTTGCCTCGTTTCTACTCACAAATCAGGCCCCTCCCAGTTCTCAATCAGGGATACATGATTTGCAATTACCTGCAGACTGCAGACAGCCAAAGAAACACCCAACAGCGATAAGTACCGTGAACAAACCCTTGAACAATGCGTGATTTCTGAAAATGTCTCCAGAGCGCAGTCCAGGATATTCGGACTTGTTGTGTACTTGCCGGGCTCTTGTGGTACATGTATATACTGGTTCATGGCTGTTTATGAGTGTTTCTAACTTGACCTTTCGGGCTCAAAAGGCATGCATCTCAACCGAGGAACTTTCGGCTTAACCACCCAGCCATCGCCAGCGCATCAAAACTTTTTTTGGATGTAAAAGCACTTGGTTCCTCTCTGATGCATTGTTTTGACATGTTATCGGAACGCCATTTAGGCACAAGGGTTTACAGCTGTGTGTGAATACAATGACCTACATGGCGTCTATTAACAGCCTTTGACGTACTTCAACATTGGTGACGCGGAGCTTTCTGGTGAGATTTGGGGCTGATGAGTCTCCCTGGAGGCCTGCGCGGAGACCGACGACTTTAGGACCAACGCTCATGTATGAGGAGGGATGGCTTCTCGACTATGAATGGACTGATCAAGATTGGGATGAGGGACACGGAGTGGTGATCCGTGGGAAGCTGGCGACCCGTGGTCTGGCGCTATACTATACTACGGATGGGTGGATGACAGACTCACAAATTCGAGGTAAGTTTTAACACAGCATGCATTCCCAACACTACTGCCTTAACGGTTGGATGCGAATTTTTGAGGACAACGTGGTGACACATGGCATGAAACACCAACCTCCTACGGGGACAACGACTGGAACAAGCCGTCGGAAAAGTTGGTGGTGCGATTTTTTTGTGGTGAAAGTAACTCGGGCCTGGACTTGGGTCGTTCGGCTTGGAGCTCTGTCAAACAGGTGCAGGTGTGGTTGAGGTGGATTTGTGCGCCTGCAAATAGACGGGCGCTGGCTGTGTACAACGAGCTCAGAGGAAGGGCTTGGCTCCATGCCGAGAGCTTGATGTGGACACGCTCGCTCGCAACACCGCAGTTTCCTATTTCTTGGAATGGACCCAGACGAGGTTCATGGAAGTGGAGATCGTCGCCGTGGCGCCAGCGTGCCCAAGAGAACAAGTTGAAGGGCCTGACCAAGATGACGCTTCAGATTCAGCATCTGGTGCAGGAGGCCGAGAAGGAAGGCGTTCCTGTGCCGGCTCCTTCGCAAGTCACGAAGCATGGCAGCTGAGATGGTGGCCCACCTCGGGCGCTACAAGGGCTGGATGTCACGAGGTCCCAGTGCAGGATGCCGACTGCGACGAGGGAGACCAAGAGCAACCCGAACGCTCACGAGGACCTGGTGAGGCTGGCGATGTAGGGTGCGCAGGAGAAGGAGCGCCGGACAGAGTCGACTCAGTTAGAAGACAGACTTGGGCGGGAGCGAAGGCGATTTCAATGCCGGAGCACAAAAAAAAGATTTGCGTATGCTGGACTGCTGGACTGACCAGTGTCAGTGTGGTGGATGGAAAGCTTCGGCGCTACTCACCAACTGCTTCGCTCGGGAACTGTCCTGCAAGCGCGACGCGCAACATGAACATTGGCCTCTACAGGGCAAAGACACAGCGGCGTCTGCGGGGTACCCCGTCCCTTTCGCCAAGGCAGTGGTCAAGGCACGGACGGTCCCAGGACCGCCAGAAGAAGAGAAAGAGTTGCGAGGGGGGCCATCTTCAACGGCAAGGTCAAACCAGCCGTAGTTGCAGACGCGCTGAAGATCCCCCGTACAGCCTGCGGGGAGCGGGACAAATGGTCTGCAAGCGAGGAGGTTAGCGATAGACCTTGCGCGAGGCAAGGTCACATGATCGAGGTGTGGCGTGAGTGGAACCCTGGTGAGACAAGGCCTTCACCACAGAGGCCGCGCGAGTTGCCGGACATTCTGACCAAGTCCATGAGAGCGGACGACTGGTGGGCGAAGATGGAGGGTCCTTGCTTAGGGAATGATAGAGGACATCGCTATTTTGGTTCTCGGTTCCTCTCTGATGCATTGTTTTGACATGTTATCGGACCGCCATTTAGGCGCAATGGTTTACAGCTGTGTGTGAAAACCGTGACTGTTACATGGCGTGTGGTGACAGCCTTTGACGTACTTCAAGACAGGAGTCTTTCACCCCTACGGTTGTAGCTTCCGCATGCCTTGTCACGCAGTCTAAGACGTCGCTGCGGAGGTTTAGATGCGCGAAGAGCGAAGCGGGATTGGACCCACATCTACTGCCCCAGACAGAGGATGCGTTTTCCGGAGATCCACAGAGCTCCTGATTGCCGCTGGATATCCAGATTTGGCCATGTATGGATCTAAGCGTGGCCCTTATAATGCCCAAAAAACGAAGCAGCCGCCGCAACAATTCCCAGACTTCCCCGAAAGCCACGCGCCCACTTTGCCACAAATTCTTGTTTTTCTATGATGCCCGAATCGACAACGCAGCCATTGATCAACCTTGACACCAACACCCTGCGCCGAATCTGACTGGAACTTGAAGCAAAAATACATCACCGTAGACCCCAAACAGATTGTGCTTTTCAAAATCGGAACACTCCGCAACTAGAGCTTGCGACGTCCAGAGCTCGGAGACAAAGGATTGCAAGGCAGAGGCGGCCACAGCAGTCCAGGGCTGGGAGGCGACATGCGCATGCAGCCCAGAGCTGGGTGACAAAAAAAGGATCGGAACGCAGAGGCGGATACAGCAGTCCAGAGCTGGAGACAAATGAAGGCTTGCAAGGACACATGTAAGGCCAGCGGAAAAGGGCGGACACCACCAGTGACAGACCTGGGAGACAAGTGAATAGAAATGCTACATGGCCAGCGGAAAAGGGCGGACACCAATAGAAATGCTACATGGCCGGCGGAAAAGGGCGTACACCACCAGTGACAGACCTGGGAGACAAATGAATAGAAGTGTTGCACCGCCAGCGGAAAAGGGCGGACACCTGCAGGACAGACCGGGAGACAAATGAATAGACATGCTACATGGCCAGCGGAAAAGGGCGGACGCCAGTAGCGACAGACCTGGGAGACAAATGCGTAGAAACGCTGCGTGACAAATGAATAGAAACGCTGCATGGCCAGCGGAAAAGGGCGGACACCACTTACACCACCGTAGACACCAAACAGTTTGTGTTTTTCAAAATCGAAACTAGAGCTTGCGACGTCCAGAGCTGGGAGACAAAGGATTCAAGGCAGAGGCGGCCACTGCAGCCCAGGGCTGGGAGACAAATGTAAAGGATTGCAAGGCAGAGACGGACACAGCAGTACAGTGCGGGCGGACACATCTTGAAAGAATTGAGAAGCCGTAACAGTAAACCTTTTGGGGAATTATTCTTCAAGTGCGAACATGATGCTGGTCATGCTGCTCAATCAGCGGGGAGTTGACCACGTGAGGACGAGAAATAAAGGCATGAGGAGCGAATGCCCTCCGTCCCAACTGAACAGAGAGATCGCTGCCACGCCGCCGAAAAAATTCTGGTCATTCATCCAACGCTTGTCCGAAAAGGAAAATAAAGCTGATAGAGTTACACAGCGTGGCAGGAATGCAATCCCGGAGACAGTCGCGCACCCCTTTCAAAGGAGCAAGAACCTTTCACAGGTGAACCTGTGCCAGCGGACAGAGCAGAAAACAGCAGTGCAGGCACCAAGCCTGAAAGACAAAAAGAAAGAAATCACATGCGAGACAAA